TATATATTACATATAACTATATTATACTATACATATATTATACACTATGAGCGTATACAATATACACTATACAAATAGATAATATATATATATATATTATATAATATATATTTATGTTATTCTATATTATATAATATATAAAATATATATAATAGATATATATATATATATACACTTATATAATATTATTATTCTATAATCCTTATATATAGTATATATAATATGTATTACTTAGTCTATATACTATACATTACTTATATACTATACTATATATAGTATCAATATATACTATACATATATCATATGACTATAATATGTATTATGTATGGGATGGATATATAATAATAAGTATATATTAAATATATATATATATAATATATATGTATTTATATATATGTATGAATGTATGTATGTATGTATGTATGTATGTATGGATATGTATTATGTAATATGGTATACTATATATAATAGATCATTATATATATACGTACGGCTATATATAGATATAATATTATAAGTAATCTAATTTATCATATAACTCGCAGCAAGCTACGCGATTAACAATCATTTTATTTATTCTAGTTTATTTTGTCAGCTATATATTCATCTTATGTATTCCATATTATAATTTACTTGATAACTACTATTATTTCACCTCTGCTCACCCTCATATATCATATATGTATTATCTACATATTAATCCTACTCTATTACTCAAATACTCTAACTACTATAGTATGCTATAGTACTATTACTATACATCATACTTCTATACTATCTACTCACAATATATATAATATTATATTATTACTCACATCTATAATATATCATATATGTATTATATATCATAATATATATTTATTACTATATATATTCTTACTTTATATTAATATATTTATTTATATACATATATTTATTTATATAAATATATTGTATTTAATAAATATATTTATTAAGATATATATATGTTACTTATCTATATATATAATATAATATATATATATATAACATACTCACCTACTATATACCGCTATCTCTACTATATGGTAATCGATACTATAGGCTATACTAGATAATATTATATTTCTTATATATATATTATTTATTTCATAATATATTTATTTATTATACTATTTATGATATATATCCTATTATATATATTATATCCTATATATAATATAATATATATATATATATAGTATATATATATATATCTATTTATAGTCAGTCATATAGTTTATTTATCATATGATAATCCTACTTATATATTAAGATAATATTTAGAACTTCATAATATATATATTCTTTTATATTATATTTATATCGTATCTCTTATCTATCTATCTATCTACTATCTATCATATTCTCATTCTACTCTATCTATCTATCTACATACTATGCCTATCATATCGTATCTTATCTATCATATATACTCAATATAACATATACTATTTAATAATTATATTAGGCTATATACTATACTATCATAATTATATAATATTACTTATACTATATTTAATATATAATATATATATAACTACTATATACAGACTATATTAATCGTATACCTATATCATATCAGAATAATACTATATATATATACTACTAATTATATATCACCTCATATACTATTATATATCCTATACACTTATATATTATTTATATTATATGATATATATAATATATTAGTATATATACATATACAGTATATATATATTATATATTATATATCATAATATATATTTCATATAACTATATATTACATAGATAGATTAGACTCTATAGATACTAACTTATAGATCTTATAGACGACTGACTAGAGAGTGCTACTGTAGACACACCCTATACTCATTACCTATTTCATATTTAATATTTATATTTATTATTTATATTTAGATTTTATATTTATATTTCATATTCATATTTATATATTTATATTTATATCACAGATATTATATTATATATTTGTATATGATGCATATATATATATAGTATATATATATATTATATATATATATCATATTATATATCTATAGATGCATATATACATACCTACTCACAATTACATACATACATGAATATAATATTATATTATATATATATATATATATATAAATATATATTTAAATATATACATAATATATACAATATACATACTATACATACATAGTACATAGTACATATACAGTATAACTATATATATATATAGTATAAAAAAAAATATATATATATATATAATATATATATATAAATATATATTATTATATAATTAACTATATATATATGATTGTATATATATATATATATATATTTAGCAAATATGTAATATATTTTATAAATACAAATCATATATATATAGTATAAATTATATTTATAAATACTATAATTTTATATTTATAAACGAACATACAATTAGATACTATTCTACTTAAATACCATCACTCTCTCTCCTGACCACCAATATCATCGTGTAGTCGAACCCTACATCTTTAATCTCATTTATAAGATCCCATCACGTCATAGAAATCATACTTGTTCCTATTAAATATAATAATATAAAATATATAAAATATATAATATATATATACGGTTATCTTACTACTCACTAAAACCTAATCAGATATACTTTATACTTATTATTATATATATACGAATTATATATTACTAATTATCTCTATATATAATATAATAATATATAAAATATATTAATATACTACAAGTTATACTAAATTATAAATATATCTAATTATATAATACTTTAAATTATATAATATATACGAATATATACAAGCATACATAAATGCTATATATTACTAAAATGTTATATCAACACTATAAAGATATCGACTATACTCACTATATTATCATAAAGTCTTAGGTATTACTACCTACAACACTATCTACTACGCTCCTCTGCCGCCTTCATCATGACTATCACTACATCAATAGCTATCATACATATATATATAGTACAATTATGTATATATATAGCTTATAGAATAAATAAATATAACTACAGTTCTGCCCGCTTACTACTCAATAGCGCTGGCTATATTACTTTACAGCTCATTGTACTGAGTCCTCTACATTTATAAACTATAGATAGATAGTCCAAACTAGTCAAATATAGATATATAAATATTAAATCTTCTTATAAATGTATCTTAAGGTTTATTACTCTGATACGATTAGCTTCTTATATTACTATATACTTATGATCACCTCGTAATCACTGCCGTGAGTGAGGTATTACTAGTGATTTACTATATAAATTATAAGTACTATTATATTGGCTGCCTCCATGTCTTATATGCGGACACAATAAGCTTGTCCCATGGCGCGTATATTCTCTAAATATGCGTACATCATCGTACCATCAGCAGATGCTTACTGATCTTTTCAGTTTTTCTCCTTCCCTAGCTTATGCCTATATTCTCTCTTGGCCAGTTCTTTTTCTCAAAATTTAAAAATGAAACTCTGCTCCTCAACCAACACTCAAGACAAATTTTTCTGTGCATTGCCTCATTCCAATAAAGCAACTAACTGCGATTCAAATCAAACCATATCTTGTAAGGATGCTGCGAAACCGTAGCATGTAGAGGAAGCCCAACGACTACAAATTATGAGTATTAATCTAAGGTTTTCTTTCTATGACATAAATACTTTGTATGAGCTACATCATATTACCGGGAGTCTAGTTGCATCATGCATACTATGTATACCCAAAACCTATATTTAGAAAGATCATAAATAATTTCAATTTTCTTTTTCTTTCTTCTGTTTTTGTATAACAATGTTCTCTGGACTATCTATGTCAGTAATTGACTCTTTGATACTTATGCTCTTGTTACATCAAGGAATAACCAGAGGTGGGTTGTAACACTCATGTGGTAGTTTCCCTCCTTCATGTCACCCAATATATAGATTTGGTGTGTTTGGGCAAGAACAGATGCCACCCAATGCAAAGAGGTCAACAGGAGCTAGGGACAGAACGAGTGCTTCTATGATGTCATCAAGAATTCCCACACTTTTCCCAAAGCAAATCTGTTTCATGGTGGCAACAGTTTAGGGGTGAGTGTCATCAAAACTGCTCAAAAAATAATTTCAAATTCTTCCAAATGCTGCTGAAGAATAAGGTTTAACCAAAAAAATTTAATTGTTTCTCAGCTCTGGCCATTACCTCTCAGCAACAATATAAACAATGGACATTCAAGAACATAATACTCAAATTTTCATATTGCTCATTTCACTCCTATTCATTGAGATCTAATTAAATTCATAAATTGCAATATTGCCAGTTTGAATAAAAAAGAAAGTCACCATACTTGTGCACCAAGACAATATAGAATGGTTACACCTTGCATACTCCTGAACTCACTTGAGCATGAGGGGGAGGATGAGGCTGGTTAAGAGGCGGCACGGGCGAGTGATGAGGGCCGGGCACTGGAGGCGACACCATCTGGTACACAGGGTAGCCACCTGGGCCTAGGGCAGGGCCCGGGTGCTGAGGTGGAGGCTGCCCCCCATGCAACCTAACCAGCTCACCTCGGTGGTCAGATGGTCTGCTGATGGGGACACTGTGGGCTGAGCTGTGCGCTACTGATACCATGGGAGGTGGTGGGTCCATGAGGGGCCATGGGGAGGTCCATGGGAGGAGGCCCATGTTGAGGGCCATGCGGATGGAGCTGTGGTCTGGCGCGCCATGTGGGGAGCCATTGAGTGAGGGGGTGGGGGCCGATCATTTGAGATGGGCGTGAGGGTGGCGTGTGAGGGCCCCAGAGGGTCACCGGGATGCACACATCGTGGCGACACCGACGGTAATGGGGCTAATGTTAGCCCCGCCAGACCAGCTTAGGCTTGATCCGTGGAACGAGCAATGTACCTGACAACGCGCATCAAAGATTTATTGCAGCACATCCAATTATCGCTACTCTAAATCAAACTAATAACACATATTATACGGTCCAAAAAACATACTCACGGATCACATCAACTATTGATACAAGTTTTCATGTAGCTTCATACATACACATATAACTCAGACGAGAGGTGATCACACTGATCTGCACACTTATCTTGACAGTAAATAAAGAATAATAATCAATCGAGTAGCCCTTTCCCATGTAGCATAACACGCCTGATTTTCTAATACAAGAATGCATTCATCTAGTAACACACAACTCCTACGTCATCCTACCTAGGAAATAGCATGATAGTCTCAGTAAGACAACTTCTTTCACAATAGAGCTCATCTCAATCGCATCTCGGTATTCGTACGAATAGTCTACCTCACTGTCTCCACCGTCACAACACTCTTATCGTACGACAAACCTCAACCAAGTAAACAATTCAATTACAAAGAACAATAAACAAGAGCAAGCCTGAGCTAAGTCGAGAATCACATCTACCTAATAATATAATAAACATAAGTGTCTCTCAAAAAACGAATAAGCACAAGACGAATACGCCATAAAACGAACAAGTAGGGCGAAAGACATTGAAAGTGAAGCAAAGAATTAAAAAGACCGAACCGAAACCTACAGAAAAACTCAATAACTCCCGATACCTAGCACGAAGGTCGTACACGAGCCGTCACCATTCACAGACACATATGACATACCCACACGTCCCCGAGCACACTCTACTGACAGTCTCTGTGTTGCTGAGGCGGTACGAGTGAGTCTTTAAAAGATCTTGAGCTATACTGCACGACACAATCGACAAACCCTCACAAATCTCTAATCGCATCATAGCAGAGAAACTGCAACAAGTCTCGTGCTGCCTGCCGCCTTCAACTCGGCCGACTGGCTCTCAGCGTCTCAACCTGACCGAACATCCTCACCCAGTAAGCCTTGATAGGCTGTACCAATTATCCAGCCAGTGCAGAAGCGTGCTCCATCGATCAAGCGGGAGTGTGCTGCCGATGCACAACCTCACCGCGCCAGGAATACGACCCGAATGCACACGCAACAATGCCTTTAATATCTTCCTTCCGTGAGGTGTCGACTCACATAGTATATTACAGATCCCGTATCCCGCGCAGCCACACCTGCACTTAGTGAGAGCGACGCTCAACCGGCCGCGGTTAAAAAATGAGGACTACGAGACCACGTGCCTTTTATTTTCTCTTCATTTTTTTCTTCTTTTTATGTTCCCTCACACTCCGGCATACAGTAACTTCTCTGCCTGTGACGTAGCCACTCCATGCCTGCGATACCAAGTCTAACCTTCATTAATTCCCGCGTTCGTATCTAACCGAACAATACTCACTCTGATAATACAATACTGCCGACACTTCTCACATCCGACGACTTACACCGTCCACTGCATATCTACGATACACGATAGCTGTCATAAGACAAATTCCACGGACTTCCACACCCGCTAGAATGACAAATTCCCCACTGTGCATCGTGGAGTTATCTAGACTCCACACTGTGAGTCCCGACCCGTGCGATCATGCGAGCTCATAGCAGCATTGATCCACGACTTGCAGTGACCGGTCCCTGAACTACAGCAAGCGTCATGTACCTGACCGTATCCTAGCATAGCAGCCCCTGAAAACGTCGCGACTATACTAAGCTTCGGAGACAATCCGTTCGAAGCCCTCAATGGCCATTCGAGCCGACACCACTAAGTCCTCAGAGCATCACACATCGCAACTTCCGGCCACGAATTCTCGACCACCCTCTCTGGCCATACAAGATACATCGCACAGAGCTATAACTGCGTAGCCTAGGCCGACACAACGGCACCCTCAGACTACACGACAATCGACTGACAAGTGCTACAGCCCGGGAGCATATTGACGGCGTAAGCGTGGACGAAATCCACCGAGCTACTAATACAAGCAACTACTACCTGCATGCATACTATCCTGCGAATCAGCGGCGGATGTAAGCAGCGTGCAGATACAACCTACGCATATATAGCAATGATAACGCACAAAACAATAACCACTTAGCACCTACCTCAAAGATGTTGGACTGGGCTGATCTTGTTATGCGTCACAGGAGGCAGCATCGGGGACTGTTGTCTGTGCTCTGTCCCAGGGCTCCGATAGCGATACTCTGGTTCCCCCAGGCCATTCTCTACAGGTAAGGGTGGAGGCGGGCCCCGGCGATCATGAGGAGAGGTACCCCTCCTCTCATGGGGTGATGGGCCACGCCGGTCATGGGGGGAGGCTCCCCTGTGGCCTGAGCTGCCTCCAACTGGGGTGGTACCACTAGGATGTGTGCTGCCTCCTAAGGAAACAAGATTTTTTTTTTTAACTATGTGTATCTATATGGTTAGTTATCTACTTAACCATATATGCTGTAAATTGCATGAAATACTATCATAACCAGTTCTATTCACTGTAATTTGAATATCATATTACTTTTAATCTACATACATTTTCATTTTAATATCCTAATTTATGTCCTTCCTTTTTCCTGCTTTTGAAATCAATGTTCATATTAAATAAAAGCAACTACAATGTAATGGACACCAATCAACAAC